TGGATTACACAGGTAAAATCACAAGTTAGACAGGTAAAAACATGGATTACACAGGTAAAATCACAAGTTAGACAGGTAAAAACGTGGAATATACAGCTAAAATCATAGGTTTACAGGTAAAAAAATCACATTTGCAAAAGAAATTACAGGTAAAATTTAACAGAATTCAGGAAAGAAGTCACGGATTTACCTGTTTCAGATTGTAATGTGGTTTAAAATGTTTATTAGAGAAATTATATTGAATTGAAAAAGTCTAAATGTCACTCAGCTATAATTATAATTGTTGCTGGTGTCTTTTCCTGATCAGAGTCTGAAACTGGTGTCATCGGAGCAGGCACTGAAGGAGCTGGGCCTCAATGAGTATCAGTTACGCTTCACCTGTCGCGTGCAGCTCCAGGATCCTCACAGTGACGTCGACACACTCCATCGAATCTACACACACCTGAAAAAGTGAGGGCCAGTCCCTGATAAACTGGTTAACATGAACATCAGATTTTTGTCAAACGTCTGACCTTTCTTTCAACTCCATAATGTCCTGTATGATGTCCTGTTTTTTAAAAGCGTGTTAAAAGGCTACACCATTCAGCATCTCCCTGACAGCACGGTCATGGTGGAGTCCATCGTCATCAAAGTGACCTCCTCAGCTGAAGACAGCAGCACTAAAGTCCTGCTGCTTTCCTGGAGTTACCAGGTACATCATCCTCACTCATTTTAACTAATTACTCTTTAAACATGATTTTAAGCAAAAATGCCTTAAAATWTTGATATTTTCCTGGTGAGCTAGCAAAGCTTTGTTTCCTTCCAGTTAGGAAATCTCAGTATTCAAATACTATTTGAGGTTTTGTTTTTTTAATGACATTAAAAATCCCTAATTACAATTAAATTAAAATAGGATTCAGAACAAATATTAATATATTATTGTGATTAACAAGAATTATCTCTGGAACTCTCATGATGGATTATCCAGGTATCAAATCGTAGCTTTTCAAACCAGGAACCTGAAAAAGTGATTAGGTCAATTCGAATGAATTTGACTTAATCCTCGGTTTAAAGTAACAGGTCACATAAGTGGCACTAAAACAGATTGAAGTTTTTCAAAGTGGCCTCAGTCTGAACGATGTCTCAGTGAGGCAGGAGGATACGGATC